TAATCAGCTTCTATGCGGGAGGGCCAGTCACTTGGCTGAGTCAAAAAACAATCATCCATTGCCATATCAACAACAGAGGCAGAGATAGTTGCAGCTAGTGAAGCAACTAGAGAAGCAGTATGGCTTTATAGAATATTCAAAAGTTTGACAACCATGAATGAGAAGCCCATTATTTATGTTGATAACGAGGCAGCTGTTCGTTTATCGAAAAATCCTGAGTTTCATAAAAGAACAAAGCACATTGAAGTGAGGCATTTTTTTGTTCGTGAGAAAGTACTTGATGGAACTATAAAAGTTACAAGAGTATCGTCAGAGAATCAAATAGCTGACATACTAACAAAACCTCTGAAACCTGGACGTTTTAAAATACTGTTTAGTAAGATTGGTGTCTGTTTGTGATTTTCAGCCTAAACAAAAAGGGGGAATATTAAAATAATTTTTTATTTAGTCTGCAAATGAACAAAAGGTTTTTAAGTAAATCATAACATATGGTTTATTGTTTTTATAATGTTTTGTTTACTTGTTGTAATGTATTAAGTTTGTGATTTTATCAGTGAAAATACAAGGAATTATTTTTGTTAAATGCAGAGTTTTATTTAAAGAGAGGTAGTTCACAAAGACAATAGTTATTACCCTTGAAATAATGTTTGTGTAGTACTTTGCAATCCTACCAATGCTTATAGAATCATACGATTACAATTTTCTGGTTAGAATATGTCGCATAGAGTGGTGACTACTGTATCTTTTTGGTTTGCTTGTAAAACAGGATCAACAGAGATTTTCCATCGACTTAAACAATACGATACTCCCAAATTGTTCTTTGCAATAACAAAATATCACACAGTTTGATGAATATTTGTGTGTAAACTGTAAACCACATACAGTACACCTGTATTCTATCTATTTTACCTTTTATTTTCCCAAGACTTTATAGAAAATCACGCATTACGTGATCAGTGAAGAAAGGCTGTATCCCACGTGTTTTATAGGTTAAGAAGACAAGGACGGTCCTAGACATATATTTTGGGGGGGGGGGTCACCGGGGGCCTGGGGGTATGGAATACCCCCCAAAAAGGAGGGGGGTCCTGAGGTTTCCCCCGGGAAAAATATATAAATAAATAAATATAGGCTATAAGTTAAAGGGTGGTCAACTCAAGGAGGCCACCATTGGGATATCATATCGGAAACGTTAAGAATTAGAGAAAACTTAAAATGGGGGATATTCCTTTATTTTTGTGGTAGTTAAAAATATGATTTTAACACCCTATATTTTATCATGTTTTCGGATAGAATAGGCAATTTAAAAACTTTTTTATCCTTGACATTTTTTCGTTAAACCCACTCGTTTAGGAGTTACAGCATATGGAAAAATGACTTCCGGTGTACATTTTACATCATGAAGCTCCTAAACAAGTAAGTTTATAGCAAAAATGCGAAGAGTAAAAAAGTCTTACAATTGCATCCACATTCCTAAAAGACCATAAAATTCATTAAAAATATGAATTATATTATTTAAAAAATGGCGGAAAACTTGAAAAGTGGAAATCTTGTTGTTTTTTAGTCTCTAAGGAATGTAGATGCAATTCTAAGACTAATTTACTTTTTGCAATTTTGCTCTAAACTTACTCGTTTAGGAGCTACATGATGTAAAATGTACACCGGAAGTCATTTTTTCATAGGCTGTACTCCTAAACGAGTGGGTTTATCGAAAAAATGTCAAGGTTAAAAAAGTTTTTAAATTGCTATTCTATTCAAAAACATGATAAAAAACTAAAATCATATTTTTAACTGCCACAAAAAATAAAGGAATGTCCCCCATTCAAAGTTTTCTCTAATTCTTACAGTTTCCGATTTCCCAATGGTGGCCTCCTTGAGTTGATCACCCTGTATATATGAATTTTAACGGATGGTGTTTTTGGCCTCTAGGGACCTCAAAACGAAAAATTTAATCGGTCCCGGGTCCAGGTGTTACCATAAGTACTACGGTAATAGCTTATTCCCTATATGGGAAATTCGCCAAAAACCTAATAGTTATATAGAACAATATTACATTCAACCAGCTGTTAGTTAAAACAAATTATATGGGACTAAAACAAATCAATGAGAACTAAGATTCCTTTAAAAAATCATTTGAACATCCTACTATTTTACTATGCATATTTAATTAATCTGCCATCCTCATACCTAAGAATTGAATGTATCAATGGTCAGCATTACACATAGTATAAATAGGTCAACTCTAAATATGTCTTTAAATTTGTTTCCAAATGCTGAATTTGTGTCACATTTGCTGAATGTTTACAGCTGTTATGTTAAGCAAATTATCTATACTTATTTAATACGCAAGCATGTTTTTTGTGACAACTACTCCTCCGAAACTACTGAACCGATTGACATGTTTTTGGTGTCATTGGAAAGAGCGAAACTTGAAGTTGTGCAGGAAACTTTCTTTTTAGGGAAATAATAAGAGAGTGGGGCCCTGGGGCCCTTTAAAGTTTCGTATTTCTCCATTAGATTAACATGGGAATCAAAAATTGTTATGAAACTCCAGCTGTTGTCAGAAATCAAAAGTGAGAAGAAGAACATAATGTTAATTGGAAACATTCAATAAGTTTGCTAATTTAACAGTTTGCTATAAACATTTACTGACTTGGTTGAAATTAAATATTTACTATTTGAATTCGAGTTGGCGTAAATATTACAATGGAAAAAAGCGAGAGATATAATCTGTTATGTACATCTTGAGTATTTTCATAATCTGTGTGTCGAATCTTTTAAAGTCATGAGAAATTATGACTGTTATTCGTTTTAAAATAACGCCTGTAATACTTAGGAATTGCTCGAATTCGAGCAACAGGAACACTAGTATTGTACTAAAAGGGGTCTGACTAAGGGGAGGTACGAATGAGGCATTTAGTTCAAAATTCCTCCGTGAACAGCGCTGTAGTAGAGAACACTTTGGCAATGAAGGTTTACTAATCGCAAAAATAGTTCTGTTCATAAAATAAAATTATAAATATCTCAAATTCAATATAATTATTTTTTAATTATAAAATTAAACTATCATAACCTAACCGAACTAACCAAACTTGCTGATGAAGAAATAATATAACAAAAGTTTAGTAATCGGAAAAATATTTCTGTTTATTAAATAAAACTAGAATTTGCTCAATTAAAATTTTGTAATGACTTAATAATAAAATTAAACTGTAATAACCGAACCAAACCAACCAAACTTGCTGATAATAAAAAAATCTTGGACAAAAAGTTAATGCTACCAGCAGGATTCGAACCCGGAACCTACTGTATATCAGCCCGGCACGCTGACCATTAGACCACCGAGGCCGTTGGCTACCGACCGTTTTGTTACGGTAATGGCGTTCCCTCAGCTAATAAGAAGCCCACAGCTGTCGTAGCCTCTTCTATACCTCCCCTGAGTAAATACCTACTAAAAGCTAGCTTAAGAAGGTTAGCGTCGGCTGCTAGACTTTTTAAAAAATAAAACTTAACTTCTAAAAAACTGGGACCCTTAATTATAATTATGGCTTTGACATTCCCTAGTTCTCAAAATTATCTTTCTTTCAACACAAAAATAATGAAAATCCGTCGACTGGTTGATTCAGAATGTGAAAAACCCCCATTTGCGTTTTAATAATATATATGACAGTTTGGACAGGTTTCAACCCTTCCGAGGCGTAATACATTTACACAGTTGATGTGTAGACTACATTATAACTCATAAAATAGTTCTAAAATTAAATGGGTCTCCTTTTACAAACGTATATAATAACCAGAAATTTTCAGATCGTCCTTGCGTGTATTTCATGCCACAAATTTTGACGAAAGGCTTTTCATTACATAAACTATACCTATTTACAGTGTTGACCAAACAGTTGGCAAGAAGCATTAATAGATAAGCTATTTACCAAATATGATAATTTTAGCTCTATTCTAATTATGACAAAACACGAAGTAACTAAAAGCGAGTATTGTTGGTGTAGTAAGCGTTGCAGGAGGTCTACTTTACACTGAATCGAGGTTCACTTTTATTGCTTTTGATCTTCCGGCACTGTTGACTCAGCGAAACTGAACTTGTATTTTACCGTATTTCGTTATATTAAAACTGCTGTTGCATTAGGTCAAATTCCCAATAAGTCAATTGCTTTAACATAGACCACGTTTTTAGCTCGGACTGTATTATTTGACTTACTGGGACTTTTGATCTACAGACACTGCAAACATTGTAGTTTTTGACCTAGCGGCACAGGAATAAATTATTTGATCTTCCGGGACTGTTGACTTCCAGCAACATTCCCAAATTGGTGCCATTTTGTCACCAATACTTAGTAGTTTAACACATACAATTTTTTAACACTAACTTCGTTCCACCCTGTATATCATGTATATCATATATATCATATATATGATATATATCATATATATCATATACATCATATATATCATGTATATCATATATATACATCATATATATCATAGATAACACATATATGCATCAATATATAATACATTGGTGCAATCTCACAAGCGACTACATATATTTAGTGACTCATCACATAATAGTAGCATAATATTATGGGCTACAAAGATCATCATTGCAAGGGTTAACAACATGTTGGAGGTAACTAGCGAGGAAAATGTTATCATACACAAGAAAGTTGGGTATATCATGGTATTAATATCGAGAATTGAGAACAATTTTTCAGGTTTCCATCAGTATCAGGAAAGATAAAATTTTGGTATCGACGCATCTCTAGTATTTAAAAAGATGTTATTTCAAGAGTGAGAAGAATTTTACATGTTTGGTTACTAAAATATGTTGTAAATAATCAACGACACTAAAGTAGTTAGATGGATTTATTTACAGGTAATTTAAGTAACGAATTCACCTTCATGCGTAACGTCTAAATTTCTGTAACCATTGAAAAAATAATTGTCCATACTAAATAAATACTAATATCAATCGTCATACAAGTGTTTACCTGTGTTCTGGTAGACACTCCGCACCCAAGCCGAGAGGTCCCTGTATCTCTTGGTGATACTGAGCAGTGTTGTTATCAGTGGAGTCTAGAGATAGGAACATGTAGTGAGGGGGAGGGTAGATCCACGGGTTGAGAGGGAGGGGAGGTCTCTCTCTCAGTTCTGGCAGAATGGATGTCACCAGCAGTGTGATGCAGACAAACACAGCTGGGATAATCAGCTGTACAAGTGAAAATATACAGCTGATTCTTCTTGACGTTTTAGGTTCAATTTTGGTGGGGTGGTGAGTTTGTATTGTCTAAAAGGCTATTAGGCACATGTTCCATCACAATAAGTAAAAAAAAAACAAACAAACAAAAACAGGAAGTCTAGCTCTAGAACGCTACATCCGATTGTCATGTCTTTTCCTATCACCGTTGTTAATGTCATTTAATTGTTTTAATATTTGTGTTCTTGTGTGTTTGTCTATGTGTACATGTTCATCAACAACCTTTTGTTGAAGAGATTATGGCATTCTTTAACGCTTGATGATAGCTTCATGAGATGTCTAAACTAGTTACGGCACAAGCAACAATATACACTTTAGATGTAAAATTTGTTCTTGATAAAGTTCCGTATGAATTAGGTAAATGGTTGTAGATTTTTAATCCCATGTAAAAATGATGTAACATATCTTACTTTTAGCACTAGTTTATATGGTGTGAATCAGAACACCTGTGCACAACGATTTGGCCCAACAAGCGTTAAAAAACTACATTTTTTTATTGAAAATTCATCATTTAAAACCTGTTTAGTGAGTTACAATTTTAAAATTTCACTTTAGGCACTTTTCTTTCAATGTTGTAATTATTAAAAGTACATAACAAATATATGTTCAAAAAGTAATTATAAAGGTTAAAAACATATCAAAAATCCAAGATATATTAAAAATTTTAGAAGTAGAGCATTTTTTTAAGGTGAAGGAGTGTGATTTTTGAAAAACTCCTAACAGTGTCTTGTACAGGGTGCGGCATAAAAACCGATCTATTTTATGCAACACACTGTTCAACGACAGGTCGTCTGAGATTTGTGGGGGTAGGCTCGTTGAAAAGCCTACATGATGCCATTATCCGTAGTCAGATCAGTTGCCACCTGAGTAACGCGTGTTTGTTATAGAGACGTTTTAAAAAAGTAATGTTTTAGTCAATACAACACAGCGGCATTTCCATGCACTCTTTAAATTAGGTCAACATGAAGAGGTTCAGTCGCAATAGCGATTATCTGTATGGATAATAAACAAAACACAGATTAACAAATTAATATTTAGGGATAAGAATTAAGATCGAGCATCAAAATTAGGGTAACCGAGCGGTCAGACATGTTCAAAGCAGATACTAGTTTTCAGGCGGGCCTACAAGGACTGTTTTCCACAGCAACACGAACTCTTATCGAATGTTAGTTGTCTGGCGTCCAATCTGTTTTTGACGGCTTGTCAGCTTCTTTTTGAAGGCAGAAGCTGTTGTTCTAAGGATGATAACCCACCACATGATTGTGCTACTTGACGGAATCCACGTCGCCCTAATTAAAAGAATGCACGGAACTGCCGCTGAGTTGCAATGACTGAATCATTGCTTTTTAAATTTGACTTGATAACAAACGCACGTTGCTCAGGTGACCACATCTCTATGACCACAGATAATGGCATCGAGTAGGCTTTCCAACGAGCCTAACCCCAATACTCTCAGACGACCTGTCGCTGAACAGCTGAGTTGCTGCATAAAATAGATAGGTTTTTATGCCGCACCCTGTAGAAAATTTAATTCCTAACTATGAAAATTCCTTCAAATCTTTGCTAGTTCTTACCGTTTACGAGCTATAGCCATTTGAAAAAAATGTGTTATTCTAAAAAAAAGGGGGATTTAAGGAAATTTTTTGGGCGGGTTGTAATTTGAATATATATTTTTTTGGATTTTCTGGGTGGTTTGGGACCGAGACAGACCTCTACAAAAAATTTCAGATCCCTAGCTATTCTAGAAGTGGGTAAACATCTGTATAAGTTAACTGATCAGTGAGTCAGTGAGTTACACAAGCTCCCGTTAAAGTATGTGCACAGGTGGTCTGATTCAAGCTGTATAATGTTATTAAGTTAATGTACGATTATGCATAAAGTTTCTAGACTATGACAGACCTCTGAGAACAGAGCCTTCTTGTTTCGCCGGTTGTGATGGTATCGTTTGATATGCAATGCAAGGAACTGCCTCCAAAGTTTATTGCTAGGCTGAGCAACATTTACATCCTTTGGGCCCTCTTCCTGCACAGGGACAGTCAGGTCTGTAAAATAGGCAGAACTTCTGTATAGTGTAATGTAATCCAATTAACTATGACACGATTATTTGATGACAATTAATAAAAAAAATTGCTTTTACTTTTTAGTCACTACCTACTTAAATGAGCAGCTTGTGCTTAGCTACTGAGTAAAAGGGGGTTTATAGTTAACACGTTTGCCGCGGCCCGCCAAATAGCAGGCGTAGCCGCTCCAGTGCAGCGCATCGTCGAACCCGTTTGGCTTTCAAATATTTCGGTCTGATGAATGGTAAATGACATGTGGTAATGTGCTGTGTTATGATACGACAAGAGTCGACGTAGTTTGCTAAAACACCCACAGATAGCAGCATTGCATGGAACTAGCCAGTCCCATTGAATTGCCAAATGGATGGAGAAAGACGGGACAACAAGTTGATTTCTAAGCTTGCCAGAAGGGAATTTTACGGGGAAATTTACTACCAACCTACACCACAATAAAGCACCCATTCCTAGTAAAATGCAGACATAAAAATACCCGTTTTTCTCGGTGTGCTGCTGCACAGAAATTGAATGGAATGTAGGCGATGCCCGCACTCACCAGTGAGTGGCTACGTGTTAAATGGAACACTCATCCATGCCTTGACTCGGTTTATAAAGTTTATAAAATATTGTTGACAGTGTGAAATATACTAGACAAAGAAAAATACTACGTACTGTATTGTTGTTGGAAATTATTAAAAATGCAGGGCATATAACATTGCTTTATTCATCTAGTAAAAACATCAATCCAGATGAAAACCAAACATAAACATTGACAGAAATTAAATAAACATTGAAACAGAACATCTAATTTTAATAAAAGGTACTTTCCTGTTAAAGGGAACATTCATTATTATCGATGATTTTTTTCTCGATATATCGATAGTAACAAATTGAAACATATCAGCTGACAACTACGATAAATATTGTTCAGTATCAACAAACAATAATGAAATGAAACTGTTCTAAAAAAAATAACCTAACATAACTAACCAAACTTGCTGTGTAACATTCCATGTTTAACTTGCCTTTTCTGTTATCAAAAGCAATTTTTTAAATAGTACGGCAAGTTTGGTTGGTTAAGTTAGGTTAGCTTAGAACAGTTTCATTTCTTAATCCATATAATAGACTATTTTGGCATAAACAAGATCAGTTGTCAATATGTAATGGATCGGTAAAAAAATATCGATATATCGAAAAAAATCATCGATAATAATGAATGTTCCCTTTAACAGGAAAGTACCTAATAAAATAATAAACATCTGATTATAACTTGAATAATTCAAAGACCACCACAAAACCATTCTTTTTTTAGAATTGAACTAAGAGTGTTCTTCAAGGGGGGTCAGTTTGAGATGACGGCTAATCATTCTAATGTTCCTAAACATGCCTCTACGGTACAAGCTCAATGATTGTGTGTTTTTTGTGCTCTTTATATCAGAGCTTGCAGTGGGTGGAGCAAATAATAATGTTTAACTAACTATTACTTAGAAGTTAAAACCGCATGTGAAAAAGACTAATTTACGGATTTTCAAACGGATTTTGTAAATACTTAAAGAAACAATTACAAAGTTTCAGTTCTACCAGTACATAGTTTGGATCTTTTTATGAACATTTTACAGTTTATTTCAACTCGATAAACACTTTAATAATGCCAGGAGGTACTTTTTTGTAGGACCATGGTTATGTGGTTAACAGCCGGCGCAGCGGGTGGAACCCTCTTAACGAGAAGGTACTTTAATGTACATCATCTTGCTGTTTTGTGTCTGTCACTTCAAAGAAAAAATCAAACGGAAAATAAATAAGCTGCTTGACAAACTTAATTTTAAATAAATAGGGTGATAAAAATAATAACAAAAATGCAGTTGTTTTACCGATATTTTTCCATTAATACTTTAAATGAACAATACAAAGATTAATTACATTTTAAAACCTGTTGTGACTCATTTAAGCTGTATTTATTTAATAATGTTGACTTTAAATATAAAAATCTATATTTACAATCAATATGTACCGATAGCCAGTTTTAAATAAAATATAATATGCATGCGTAGGCTTTTGTGGCTGGTGTCATTGAAATCCATCACTATGGATTTCAAAATCTAGTTTATAAATAAACCTTTATTATACAAAAAATACAAAAACAATAAACCTTTATTATTTACAAAAAATGAACCAAAAGTTTGACTCAGAATTATACTGTGACAGGCAAAAATCATTTGAAGCTCAAGACCCTGTCGTCTACCGCCTCCATGGGACCTGCACAATTGGGGTTTTGGAAAGATAAATATAAAAGAAGGACCAAGAAATTAGAAATATCAACAAGTAGTTAACTTAACTTAGTTAGCTTAGTTTTTGCCCAATCAGATGACATCAAGACCAAATTAGACGTTCAGGGCGGGACTTGTGTGAGTTTTCATTGAGGAATAGACCAAGTATTCATACCAACAAATTTTGGAGAAGTCAGAGAGGAACTAACTGAAAACCACGTAACAAATGATCACATCATACCAACCGAAAACCACGTAACAAACAAATGATTACAAGATATCACATGATCTAGAGGCCAATGCTCACAACATATAGCCCAGTCAATAAATGTTTTTTATCGCAACTAAATGGTGGAAAGCTGGATTTTTTATATGTGATAGAACTAGATGAGAGGTGTACTTTCCCAAAAGTCCCCACTTCTACCTCTTGAGCTTTCCCCCCCACCCCCCTCCAAACATAGAAATTGCAATGATTTACTTAATTGATCATAATTCGAATGTTATGTAAGCTATCGAGCTGCAATTTGTTTTGTTTTATTTCTGATTAGTTTTCCTACAACTTTTGTATTTATAGCATTTTTCTAAAACCAATACTTAGGGAGATATAAAAATTAAACTTCGTTAAAAACTTTGTTTCAGAGTGCAAAATCTTGTTTTTCTCTATGTATACTTTTAAATATAAATAATACGCAAATATGGTTCAAACAAAAGTTTTAGTACGTTTTTTAAGGTTTACAAATATATTATTGGTTAGTCACCTAGGTGACCGGGTGATGAGCTGAGCGTCGGCAAAGTGAGCGCGTGCGGGCTAGTTCAACACCTCTGCGCTGCGTCATCGCATCTAGCCCAGCCAATAAACGCACCAACTGCCTTTTTTCGTAGCTAAATAGTGGAAAGCTGAGATTGTTATATGTGATGGAACCACTTAAGATGTGTATTTTCTAAAAGTTCCCGATTCTCCCCCCCCAACCACCCCTCCCAACCCCCTAAAAAAAACCTGGAAATTACAGTCGCTCACTGTACTGGATATAATTCAAATTCTACGCATGCCATCGTAGTGTAATTTGGTTTGTATTTTTTATAATTAGTTTATCTACATATATTTTATAATTAGTTTGTATTTTTTATAATTAGTTTATCTACAACTGTTGTACTAAAGATTTTCTTATAAAACTATATCCACAGAGATTTAATGATTAAATTTTTTTTAATAATGTTTATGTTTATGAGTACACAATTTTGTTTTACCCTCTATAAATTTTTTTCCAAATAAAATACGCAAAATTTTACAAACAAAAATTTTAGTATGTTTTTTAAGCTTTATAAATATATATTTGATTAGTCATCAGCATCCGCGCAGCCCCGCCCGTCGATACATAGCCTAATAAGGACCGGCACCGCTAAGTTCTCAACTGTTTTATATAAATCCTAAGACTTCCTAATTTGTAGCCTACATTACTACCAAAACAATCTGTTTCAAAGCTAAACCGTGACTAAATGAATCACCTCACGGTCAGTAAAAATTTTTCGTCGACTCAATCCTTGATACAAAACTGCGTCCTATCGTTGATATGTCCCTCTTCACGCTTCCCACTAGCAAATAAAATATGGCTGCTCTGCCATGAGTTGTAAGCCTGTGTTTAAATAATATCACGAACAACGTAGAAAACTGTCGGTAATATTTATAAGCCATTTTTAATCATGGTAAGGAACACAAATTAAAACCAGTCAATGTTAAAACTAACTTTTTTATTAAGTCTATATAGAGGAGATTTTAAAACACTTGATAAGCGCCTTCATCTTTATTAGCGATGTTAAACGTTTGCATAATGTCTACCAAAAACCAATAAAGAACTATTATGCTGACTAATTTTTTAGATAACATGAAAACAATAAAATATTAGAGAACAGAACCTCACCAAGATTCACAGTATAGAGTCTCTAAAAATGATTGATCTGGACCACGTATTAGTGCCGTAAAGCAGATTCGTAATACATTGCTGTCAATTTTTACGAAAAAAACCTCAATTTGATTGACACATCTACACAATATGTTAAGAAATTTGAATAATCTGCCTGTATGTATCCCGTAAATAGTCTTGCCTGCATGTATGGGGACACAAATAGTTTTTTACTTACTTATTTATAAATTTTGGATATATGCCTTATTACATTAATTAATTGGAAAGTAAATAAAAGAAAATACGTCTAATAGTCTAACACTTAAAACATAAATTTACACTTATAATGTTACAGACAATACTGTAAATATACATAAAAGATGGTAAGTGGTCGTCGATTTCGATTCGACACTCCAATCATCCTCAGACCCATAGGTGAATTGGATCATCTCATCATTGGGTTCAGTATGTTTCTTACCCAGCTTTATGCAATGTAATATATGTATCCATGTATATTATTGTCAATAAGTTTAGCCATTGACAGAAATTATTGAATAAATTATTATTTGAAATGATAAACGAGTTAAAACCAACAATAAATTTAAGCAATGTACAAATGATTAGGTTTCATCTAATTAGTATTTTTTTCAGTTTACTATTTAGATCTTTACTGACCGCGAGGCGCAGTTAGTATAAATCTTGCGGGGAACAAAGCGAGTCCCATTGGTGGTAGATAATGGAAAGCACATTGTAACGTAAGGAAGAGCAAAGAGTATGTTTATAGTGATTTTTAAAGTGTTTATTAGGTCTAGTGTTCCATACCTCAATCTATCAAACTTTCGTTGGTCAAATATGAAGAAATCAAGTATTAAAAGTATTGCAAGTATAACAAGTAAGTAGGTAGAGATTAATTTACCTGAACCAAAACTGGTTATAACAAAATTATTGGGTTCCATCTAAATAATAATTGTTTTTACTGTTAACGGTTAAGCTTGGATACAGATTGTTTTGGTAGTGAACTAAAAAGTACAAGGCCATAGCATTTGTAATAAACCTTTGAGAACTTTAGCGATTCCGGTGCCTATGACGCGACTCATCGACGGGCGGTGCTGCGCTGCGCGGAAGCCTGCACCCGGTGTCTTTGCCGACAATGCCGACGCCCCACACTACATCAGTTTTTTTCAGATAACTAATCAAATATATATTTATAAAGCTTAAGAAACATACTAAAGTTTTTGTTTGAAACATTTTGCGTATTTTATTTGGGAAAAAATATATAGAGGGTAAAACAAAATTGTGTACTCTTAAACATGAACATTGTAAAAAAAGTTAAAATGTTAAATCTCTGTGGATATAGTTTTATAAGAAAATCTTTAGTACAACAGCTGTAGATAAACTAATTATAAAAAATACAAACCAAATTACACTACGATGGCATGCGTAGAATTTGAATTATATCCAGTACAGTGAGCGACTGTAATTTCCAGGTTTTGAGGGGGGTTTGGGAGGGGGGTTGGGGGGGGGAGAATCGGGAACTTTTAGAAAATACACGTCTTAAGTGGTTCCATCACATATAACAATCTCAGCTTTCCACTATTTAGCTACGAAAAAAGGCAGTTGGTGCGTTTATTGGCTGGGCTAGATGCGATGACGCAGCGCAGAGGTGTTGAACTAGCCCGCACGCGCTCACTTTGCCGACGCTCAGCTCATCACCCGGTCACCTAGATGACTAACCAATAATATATTTGTAAACCTTGAAAAACGTACTAAAACTTTTGTTTGAACCATATTTGCGTATTATTTATATTTAAAAGTATACATAGAGAAAAACAAGATTTTGCACTCTGGAACAAAGCTTTTAACGAAGTTTAATTTTTATATCTCCCTAAGTATTGGTTTTAGAAAAATGTTATGAATATAAAAGTTGTAGGAAAACTAATCAGAAATAAAACAAAACAAATTGCAGCTCGATAGCTTACATAACATTCGAATTATGATCAAATAAGTAAATCACTGCAATTTCTATGTTTGGAGGGGGGTGGGGGGGAAAGCTCAAGGGGTAGAAGTGGGGACTTTTGGGAAAATACACCTCTCATGTGGTTCTATCACATATAAAAAATCCAGCTTTCCACCATTTAGTTGCGAAAAAGGCTGTTTTATTGCATTCATTGACTGGGCTAATAACCAGATGATCAAGAGACCAGTGACAACATATCAGATGTTCCAGTGGCACCTGCTCCCGCTATGACAGTGAGACTTAAAAAAGGACACATAAACCTGGGGATAGACTTTATGAAACTCACTAAGAAGGGGAGGTGTTACATCATAAATATCTATACCTTTACTTATTGCCTATTTATTTTATAACTATTTACTTGTTCACTCTGTTTTTAATTTGTGTTTAATAAAGTTGGTTAAAATTGTACTTTGATAAATACATTTTATTTGTTTTTGATTGTGTCAGCCACGAACTGCTGCTATCCAAAATGAGTTATTATGGATTTAGAGGCATAGCACATGACCTGTTTGAATCTTATCTGACAAAACGATTCCAAAGAGTTAAAATGTTCGATGATGACAGAATTGCTCACTTCTCAACTTGGAGGGAGGTTGTCTGTGGGGTGCCGCAGGGATCTATTTTAGGGCCAGTATTGTTTCTGTTGTACATTAATGATTTGCCAATCAACATTAATACTCCACTTTACCTTTTTGCAGACGACACTACAACAATATTTATGGGTCAAAACAAACAAATAACAAAAGTAAAGCTTTTAAATACCCTCCAAGAAATATCTGACTGGCTATCCAAAAACTGTTTTAGTTTGAATTGCTCCAAAACAAAAATCTTAGCTTTCACTTCTAACAATAGAAACAAACAAATAAATGAGGAATTCCTCATGCCAAATGAACTTTGTGAAAATTCCCTTAGTGTGAACTTTCTAGGTTTTACACTTAAGGACAACTTAAAATGGCATGATCAAATTCTGGCCATACAAAAACAACTTAATATATCTCTTCATGCTATTAGAACTATTGCCAACATCTCAGATATAAAGACATGTCTTCAGGTTTATCATGGTTATTTTTTATCAATTGTTAGGTACAGCATCATCCTTTGGGGTGGGACATCAGTAATTGACAAGATATTCAATTTACAAAAAGAGGCCATTCGAGCAATGTTTAAACTAAAATTTAGAAAATCATGTGAACAATATTTCAAAAACTCTAAACTATTAACTGTACCAGCTCTTTATATTTTTGAAGTTCTGAAATTCTTTAAAAAACGTCAACAATATTTTTCAAATAACAGTCTGGGGACTCAGGGTACAAGAAACACAGACACTCTGCGGTACCCTAAACATAGATTGTCTCTTTTGGAGAAGGGTCCATATTACATGGCAATTAAACTGTTTAATCACCTTCCACCAAAGATAAAAAAGAAAAAAAAAACCAACACATTTTAAAAAACCTGGAAACTCATCTAGCTGCAACATGTCCTTATAAAGTGGAAGATTTTTTTTTTTAAATGAGCACATCTGTCTGAGTCAGGGGTTGTACTGTATATATTATCATTTTTGTTAGACTATATATTATCCATTATATTTGATTTTTTAATAATTAATTTACACTCTAGTTATAATTGACATGCCATCTGTTACATGAGCTATGCTCAAATTTGTAATGTTTTTTATGGCAAATAAAGAGTTTGAGTTTGAGAGTTTTTGTTCTAATAACATACAGAACATAAACCATGAAACTTAATTTCACTAATTTAACGTGCAGAAAAAGTGTACACAAAATTAATCACATATGGTGAGATTATAATATTATGTTGAGGTAAGTTTTGTTTCATATTAAAATAAAGGCAACTATTCCATGCAAGAGATTTTAAATTGTTTTCACCATCACTACACTTAACAACGAATATCTAACTATATAACATAATTAATTGTCAAAGTAATAATTAAGGTTGATAATAAATCAGAAATCAGAACCAAATCAGTACAAATATTAAGACATTTTATTATTTGTACTTGTGACTGTGCAATTTCGTCCTGGGACAAAATTGTACTGTCGGCCTCGGATAGCTAATCTAATTGAGTATGTCCAGGGTTAGTAGTAATAATAATAGTATTAAGTTTTAAAATATGGGCTCAGATATGGTCGTTAACGCATCAGCTTTCAGTAGATGACAAATTCATCACTGCCCAGGTTAGGCCTTAATTTAAACAATAATTCCGTGAATGAAACACTGGGCGTAATTAACTAAAATCTTAACTTCGAAAATAAAATAAACCTCTCTTAATAATGGATATACCGTGTTTCACTTTTGGAATTAAAACCAACTATACTTACAATTAACCGAATCAATTGTCGCGGGTCCACGAGCTATTTTGCCCTGGCCTAACACCTACTATTCGACGATGCCAGAGTTATTTCACCACTGGATAATTACCGGGCTATTCCGCCCTCGACCTACGGTTTCGCGATGTATATGCGCGGATCCAAGAGCTATTCCGCCCCTGGGCCTATCATCTAGTGTTCGACGTTACCAGAGTTGTTTCACCACTGGTTTATTTACCGGGCTATTCCGCCCTCGACCTATCGTCTCGCAATATACGCGGGTCCGAGAGCTATTCCGCCCTCGGCCTAACCCTAGTATTCGACGCTTCCAGGGTTATTCCACCACTGGTTTATTTACCGGGCTATTCCGCCCTCGCCCTACCAGGGAGATGTTGCTAGCTATTCGCCCAGCACTCAAGTCCGACTGGGCCTTGTCCTGCGCCGCTTTTATAGAGGTCGCGACGCTTGCGCAGTGCGTGGCCGCTCGGAGAACTAATGACTCTGCGCGGTCCATTTGAATTCGTACGAACGCTCGTTTTCTTATCTCGTGAAATTTTTACTGTTACATACTATTAAAATTAATGCTCTCTAAAAAAAATTATTTACTAAACTAGTATAGCCTACTAATTTTCATAAAAAGTAGGCTATACTTTAAACGGAATTATTATGTTTCAAAAGAAAATTAACACAAATGCATTCTAAGGAGGTTTAAGAGTGCAAAGTTTATGAGTGAATTGGTTAGTAAAATGTTGCCATACGCAATTAAATGAACTATGATCTACATTTTGGAGAAAAAAATAAAAGACAAGGGGGTTAGAAAGCTAAAGCTTTGCCAAAAGCATTAGAACCACTGCATAAACCTAGAACCATCACCTGTAAAAACACAACTATAAAATAATAGAAAAGGTAGGCAAAAGATTAAAATACCACAATTCCTGCATATTTCCAACTAAAGATGAAGACTGGTAAGAGAAAGTTTTACATGCAATCAAACCTAAAAAAATTAACTCACACTTGACGGCTGTGCCGTTCCTACGGATAACAATTTCTTTCTCAGCTGTAAATAACAAAGTAATATTGAAACATATAACATAGTTTGAGATATTTTGCAAGGATAGTAACACAAAACACATATCAACATTTCTAAACAAAAACATTATCTTTTTTTTTGCAAGGATAGTAACACAAAACACATATCAACATTTCTAAACAAAAACATTATCTTTTTTTTGCAAGGATAGTAACACAATAGTAGTTTACGCAACGATTGCGTTAAGTAAGTTTTTTCGACACGAGTAGAAAATTTAAGGCACGAGCCTTGGCGAGTGCCTTAAAAACTTCTACGAGTGTCGTAAAGACTATTAACGCGAGTTGCGTACACTACTTTACCTACGACCGTTTTTTAATTACTATCAATCTGGATTTAATTACTAACAATAACTACTGATAACTTTTTAGAGAGGTTATGTTTTCGTGTATTGTCATTGCCACTGAAAGTGATGCAACGACTTGTTGTATAATCAGCTGATTTCCTGTAATTACGTGTTTGTTAAACTTCGTTAAATATTAAATTGCTAGCAGCATTCTTACCATAAATAATATTGTATCAGGCACAATTCGGCAAATATTTCATTTATTTTTGGACTTCCACCAACTTAATTAAGAATACGCGAGTATCAACATGAACAAGTCGGATCAACAATTAAATTGGTCAACTGATCAGCTGATCAGCTGATAAGTTGACGTTCGAAGCATTACAATTTTAATTATTTTCTCTCAATACTTGAACCTCATTGGTCCGTTACCTGTGTGGATATGAGAAAACTATGCGGATATGAAATGAAACTATGCGGATATGAAAGTAAACAGCTGTAAAGTGAAACTTTTCAATTCTAAGAACTGGACTGAAATGGCTACTTAAAAAAACGGTCGTAGGTAAAACACATATCAACATTTCTAAACAAAAACATTATCTTTTTTGACACTATACATATTAGTTAATCAGATGATATTCATCTTTCATCGTTGCCAGAGGGTGCCACAAGGACGTTATTTTATGATAATGTTTTGCATCATGAAATACATCCTATATATATATATATATATTATGTAAGTACACATACATAGTAACCATCATGTACATAAAAAAGATAAACTTACTTGGATTTTCCATTTTTTTAATATCCAATTGAGGCTCCGAATCTTCAGGTTTCGTCTTTATTTCACCCAAGAAATACTTCCTCAACTTTTGAAGCCAGTTAAGTGTTTCACTTCCTGAAATTTCAGAGCAAAGAATTCAATAGATACACAATAATTAGGGATGGACGGGATTGAATTTTTAGTTCGGGACGGGACGGGACGGGATTTTTATTTCCTTCCCGATTTTCGGGACGGGACGGGACGGGATTTTTTTCTGTGCATAAAAAGAAAGTACTGTATTGCAGTTACCAAAAAAGACATACGAAATCAATTTTTATCATTTGTGGCACTGATCTATAAAAACAAAAAAATGGGTAACAATTTACAGGTACCTATAGAAAGTTGTGACTCGCGGGTCACGGGGTGATCGTCTGTATGACTCACGGTCACGGCGCAATCGTCGTCATGACTCGCGGTCACGGTGCGATCGTCGGTATGACTCGCGGTCACGGCGCGATCGTCGGTATGACTCCGCGGTCACGGGGTTATCGTCGGTATGACTCGCGATCACGTCTCGATCGTCAGCATGACTCCACGGTCACGGAGCGATCCTCGGTAGGACTCCACGGTCACGTCGTGATCGTCCGTAGGACTCCGCGGTCACGGCGCGATCGTCGGTATTACTCGCGGTCATGGCGCGATCGGCGGTATGACTCGCGGTCACGGCGCGATCGTCGGTAGGACTCCGCGGTCACGGCGCGATCGTCGGTATTACTCGCGGTCATGGCGCGATCGGCGGTATGACTCGCGGTCACGGCGCGATCGTCGGTAGGACTCCACGGCCACGGTGCGATCGTCGGTATGACTCGCCATCACGTCATGATCGTCAGTATGACTCCGCGGTAACGGCGCGATCGTCGGTAGGACTCCGCGGTCACAGGGCGATCGTCGGTATGACTCGCGGTCACAGCGTGATCGTCGGTATGACCCGTGGTCACGGCGCGATCGTCGGTATGACTCGCGGTCACGGCGTGATCGTCGGTATGACTCCGCGGTCACAGCCCGATCGTCGTTATGACTCGCGGTCACGGTGCGATCGTCGGTCCAATAATCACGGCCACGGCGCGATCGTCGTTATGACTCCGCGGTCACGTCGTAATCGTCGAAATGACTTCGTCTCTCCTGCGTTCGCGGACCTATCGCTCGCAATAACGGCGTTATCGGCACTCGCGAAGCGGAAAAATCGCCGACGATCGGACCAAATCCCGTCCCGAAAAATTCCCGAGTCAAATGTAATCCCGTCCCGATAATCGGGAATATTTTTTTCCCGAAAAATTCCCGAAATTTCGGGACCCGTCCATCCCTAACAATAATCTAGGAATGATATATATTATATATACCACAAAGTTTGGCTTCAGACTTTTATTTGTGTAAATCTAAAATCAAATTGTCGGTGTGAACCCACCTTTCACTGCTGCAGGTTGATGTTGGTCCTCAGTCACCCTTAAAAATATCTGTAAGCAAAAAATATATTTCAAGTTGTTTCCTTAAAGGATTATTTAAAAATTTATAAGCAAGATTTTACGATTTTTTTTGCCCGTTGTAAAATATTTTATTAGTACATTTTGTGTTGGAATGTAGGAAAAGTATTGTTTTTTCTATTTGAGCAGATACAAATGTACTGTTACTTTTTATTCTCAAACTTTTTTGAGATTTTTAAACAGTTTTGACAGCACCTTAAGTGTTGTAAGATTACAATAAGTAATCATTAATTAAATACTTCCAGTGGCTAATACTTCCATTAAATAATTAATACTTAATTAAATACTTCCATGAGGGCCAAGTGGGCCGGGCCCACCCAAAATAAACAGTAGAGTATACTTTTAAATACATTATAGGTTATTTGGTTGATATTATTCAATAAACTGCAATATGAATTAGTTTTGAACTTTCAACAGGTCATAGCTTTTGTTGAAATACAATGCAATCATCTCGTAACACATTGGAGGGCCACGGATTTCGGGCCCTTCTAGCCAACATAAGAACATACTGGACAAGGCAATGTTTCCGGCGGCACTTGACTATCAGGGAACAATGCATTTGGTAATAATGGTCCATGTTGATTCTCAATATTCTTGCTGAGAGTGCTGAGCGCTAGTGTAGCTTTGTTTACATCCCGCCCTGTATGTTGTACACCAACTGGCAAACAAACGGGTTGTTGTTGTAATATTTCATTAAATAATAATTATTAACACTTTTAGTTAGTTTTGTGGTATTATTCTAACAGATTTATTAGAGTAGCCATATTACGGTTTTAGTGATCATAAATTTAAAGGGGTGATGATCAAATTATTTCTTTCCTGTTTGATTTCTATTATTCTCTTATTATTCTAGATAAGGTTGGTACACCGTGTTATCAGCTGTTCCAGTCATCCACATAATTCCTGCATTGACCAGGATTGAACAGTCGGTCATCAGTTTTCAAGCCGTGCACACGCTCTAAATGTTTTCGTATATTCGTGTTTTTGTGTGTACGTCCTGTTTTTATATGTGTACTATTATTCAACCCCTGACACAATGCAAATGAAGACATTTCGTGTTGAAGGTGACAAGACTATATTTTAGTGTACCACTACGCACCTGACGATGGAGTTATCTCCGAAACAGCCGTAGTGGAATATCACCCCTGATTGCGTAGACGGTAAGAACCATATATATCTATTTGAGATTTGTTGTAGTCTTTAATCAATATTTTGTATGAAGTGGAATAACCTCAACGGTTACTCTTAGAAAGCAATTTGGGAATAAAGATGAAGTAGGTTCGTACAGGTATTTGTTCATTAAGTACTTAAATACTTTGTTAATTGCTCCAAGCAAAAAAGGTTCAAATAATATAGCCTAGCATTCACGGTATAAAAGGTTAAGTTCTGTCAATGGGATGCCTTACTTAAGACAAATTTTGTTAAACCTTTACAAAATGAGCATAGACTTAGAAATAATAACTGGGTAGGGCAGGGATGCTAATTTAGCGGTTTTGACCAAGAACTAAGTTTATGTCAACACACCATTTTTAGCCTTTTCTTATTTGAGGAAGACAATTTCCAATACTGTATTTCAATTGTGGAAGCCTTTTTATCAGCATTAACCAAAAAACCAATACCTTAATAAACCAATATTTATTCTTTAGCAGTTAAACCCCTGGAATCATTAAAATTCTTTATTTAAAATAACATCAACAAAAGCAAACAAAGACAAATAACAAACTGTTTTTTTTTTTACACAAAAGATATGTTGTACTGGGATATCTATCCTGACACATATATAATTTGATTCTGAGTTTGTTTAAATATTACAATAATTTCTTTTCCATTTGAGCTTTTTAGGGACTTATGTCCCTACAAGCCACTAGTTAATTATTATATTTTCACGCAATCTGCCACACTCAAGAATTGTGAGTTATTATTTAAAAATGCAGTTCTTACCATGATTTAAATAGTAAATTTACAGGATAAGCTACCCTCTGCCCTACCCTGGCCCACCCTACTGTTCAAGTAAAGCGTCGCCACAGAATACTTCATACATTTGATTTCAAATTTAGATTTATGACATTTGATTGAATAACAACACGTTCATCCAATAACATAACAGACTTAAAAAGTGTAATAGCATAAAAATAATATTATTTGTTAACACATTATCTACGACTCACCTGTATGAGGGGCCTTGTGTTAACGGTATTGAATGTTTAAATTGGTGAAAATTTACAACATTTTTAACAAGGCTGATAAGCCCAAAAAAATTATAAAATGGTAAAATAAACTTATCTGGTTAAAGCACTAACAATGTTTTAGTTAAGTTCTATTGGGTAGATCAAAAAATAAAAACTTAAAATTTTTTTAAATAAACATGAAAATTTGAGTTATGTATAGCACAACTAGTCTATCTGAAGGTGTAGTGTAGAGTTGCCTAACAAAACCTCAGCAACATTTAGAATTGAGGTTCTACAGAGTAAAATTACAGATTAAACCCACTTTTAGTAGGTCATCCAACACAAGTACATTTCTCATCCCATTGTAAATTTTGAAGCTTGTTTTTTGTGTCTAGTTCGTGTACGTCGGCACTGATTGCTAGTGTAGACGAAATTTTGTTTCTATTATTTTAGGGTTATTTTAATGATTTGTGCTTTACTGTTTGGTCATATAACTATTGTCGGGACCACGTAAGTTTGCAGTTGGTGGCAGCCAATCACAAGACAAGGCTAGTGCGACGTTGCCACATCACCCATTGACAACACTAATTAAAATATAAAAGCAATATTTTCAAATAAGCTGGTATTATTAGATTTGGCAACACCGCACTGTTCTCATTGGTTCATTCAAAACCATATGGTAAATAGGCTCCTCCCTCAACTGCAAACTTATGTGGTCCCGACAATAGGAGACCAGTTATTGTTTATGATTAGATCGTTTTATTTGGTTGAATGAGATTTTAAATGACTGAAATAACGAGAAAAAACTTCTAAACATAACAAAACCTCTACAATAGGATGTACGTACAGAGCTAACAATAGAATTGGCTTCAGCTGTTCCATAAGGATGACAAATCTATCATGGGAGTATGTTTTATCTATGGCCATACCTTCCTTAGTTAAAAATGCTGTTATTGGCATGGAAATATTTATATGTTTTGTGTATATTGTAAAGTTGTATTTTTCTTGTGCCCGTTTGGACCTTTTGCCATTTATGTAAACCTTCTACCCTTACAAAAAAATCCTGAAAACCTAGGCTCTTGTGCTTTAGTCCTTAACACTCCTTTATAGATTTCTCATCCTTATGGATCAACTACAGGCAATATGAACGTTAGTTCTGTTTAATTAATTTAGATTTAGAGGAATGGAATGTCACATAATGCTCGTCCTCACCTCTTCAAGGCTGGTGTCAGATATCCCGTAAGAGTTTATGTGCAGATTGGTCCGTCTCTCGTCCAGGCTGTGGAACAGTTTGGGCAGCTGAGGTTGGCAGCCCTGAGGCAGTAGGAACACCACCTCATCTCCAACACTCTCCGTCACACGAGCAGACGACACACACTCACTCACTACCTCTGTCAGCTGAGAAACTGTAATATGGGATTATATGTTCTTTCAAAGTTCACAATTTTGCAATAGATAATTACTTTAATTTTAATTAAATGGACTTTTCCAATGCTAAGTGTTTTGATTACACTAAGTTTTTGGAGTTAAATGAACTCCTTCCGTTTTTAATTGGCCTTAATGCCTACATTTACCTCATCTCCCTGTCTAACCTAACTCAACTATTTTTTCACACATATTTTACATAACTTAAAAATAATATAAAAAAAAATTAAAGTAAACACAACTATTCTTATCAGTCTGAAGCCTCCAAGCTAGAAAAAAGCCACAACACAAAGCCTTGTGGGAAATCTATTTTCCATGTAGGTTATAATAAATGTATTTTATATTAGAATTAAGATAACATTATTAATGAAAGTTAATTAAAAGTTGTACAATGAAAATCATCACTCTATGAATAAAGGTTGTTTGGTTGATTTTATTTATATTTGCATATTTGTATATTTGCAAAAGTGTTTTTTTTTTATTTGCAGGACTCCACTGTTACTCAAGTAACAGTGGGACTAGGAACAGAGGAACTCAAGTATAAGTATAAACTAATCTTACCTTGCATTTGTTTAATGTTCTCCTCTTCATCAACCTGAAACAGAAATATTTCTTTATTTCTACCTTAAGAATCCTTGGAGGCTAGTGGCCATCTTGGATGATTTCTAACAGCTGCTGAAGAGTTATTTTTTGTCCAAAAATATTTTTCAGTCGCCAAAGTGATTATAGTTTAAATATCTAGTATACTGTGAGATTATAAATGTTCTTTTTAGTTTTGAATTGTTCTCCAAGGGAGTCCATGGAAGCTAAACGGCCATCTTGGATTTGCCCGCCATAAGAGCAATGTTAATTTTGTTAATTTCAAACAGTCGCTGAAGAGTTATTTACCATCTCAAAATATTTTTTAAACACCAGAGTGATTATAATGTTAAATATCTAGTATACTGTGGGATTAGAAGTTTTCTTTGTAGTTCTTTAATTGTTTTACGAGTAAGAACGTCTAGGTTCCAAGGACTTTTAAGTTTGTGATGGAACAAAATGGCAGTGAATCAATAAAAGACAAGAGCAACAAGTTTTGAAATCTAATCAACAGTTATAATTTCTCATACTTGTTTAATTATCCATCTTAGTCAAACTGACTATAACAATAAGACTATTATATGGGTCTCTTACAAGACTATTAACATTAATAGGCCTAATAGTAGTTTGTTAAGTAAGAATCAGGAAGTCAATATACATACCCATGTATTTAATGAATATTTTATCAATTCGGTAAAAGATATTAAGAAACAAATAGATAATCCCTGTATTAGTGTAAGAGACTTAGTGCATAAGGTAAATATTAATCTAAGGTTTTTGAATGGAAGTTAATCTCACCCAGTGATGTTATTAATGCTGCAAAGAGGATGAAAAACACAAAAAGTAAAGATATTTATAATTTATCTAATGATCTGGTTAAAAATATAATTCACGGTATTGCTCAACCGTTATCATTTAGCTTTAACCAATGTCTGCAGGAAGGTATTTTTCCTAGTAAATTAAAAATCTCAAAAATATGTCCAATTTATAAGAAAGGCGCAAAAGACAAACCTGAAAGCTATCGACCTGTTTCGCTGATTCCAATTGTTGGTAAACTCTTTGAAATGTTAGTTTATGATCAAGTTAGTTATATTTTAGAAGACAATAACTTTCTCAATTTTTCTCAATTTGGTTTTCGGAAAGGAAAATCCACTATCGATGCCGTGGATCGGCTCGTAAGAGAAGTGCTCATGACTTTTGAGAACAAAGCCTATGCTCGGGTCACTATGTGTGATCTGAGCAAGGCTTTTGATTGTGTTGACCATGATGATCTTTTATTAAACTTAACTACTATGGGTTTTCTGGTAATTCATTAACTTTTTTTGAATCTTATCTTAAAAATAGACTTCAAACTGTCTCAGTTAAATGGTGAACATTCCAAGGAAATCTTGGTTCAATACGGAGTCCCACAAGGATCTGTTTTAGGATCCCTGCTGTTCTTAATTAGTATTAATGATCTTCCTATCTCTGTTCATACGAAGTCTCTGTTATATGCTGATAGCACTTTTGTAGACATTTCTGATGACTTTGTTCATCTCAATTTACTTGCCCAGACAACTTTGACAGACGCTGCAACTTGGTTTAAAGCAAATGGATTTTTACTTAATAATCAAAAAACTAAAAAAATGTTGTTTAAATTAAGGACTGTAGATGGTGTAATTACTGATGATTTGGCCTCAAATGCAAAGTTTTTAGGAATTTATATTGATGACAAGTTAAATTGGCAACCACATATTAAGCAGACTTTCACGAGTTATCTATCTTTTAAAACGATTGACAATGTGCGTTCCAAGTCATTATCTAAAAACAGCTTACTTTGCCTATTTTCAATCTATTCTTAGATATGGTCTGATTTCGTTTGGCAACTGTGCTAAAATTGATGTCATTCTTATCCTTCAGAAGAAGGCAATTAGAGTTATGACCAAGTCAGATGTAAGTGCTCATTGCAGGCCTTTATTTATTCAGTTGGAAATACAAACCATTATCAACCTTTAAAATTTTGATCTTGTATCTTATATACTAAAAAATCAGGATCTTGTTTTACTCACTGGGGATATGCACAGTTACAACACTCACAATAGGGATAAAGCAGCAATTGAGTACAATAGGCTCAGCAAATCACTGTCTAGTCATGTAGTACTATCCCTTAAGGTATATAATAAAGTAATTAATCTTAGTAAAAAATAGACTGTTAAAGTTTTTAAGAAAAAAAATTATTAGTGGTTATCTAAAAATCCTTTCTATTCACTTAGTGAGTTTTTCTTATTAAAACAGATAGAACTTTAATGTTTGAAATCTGTTATGTATAATTTTTGATTCTTGTATAGTTCCTATGACTTGTATATTCCTATGATATGTGATATTACCCTTAGGCCCAATTAGTATAGAGACTTGGCATTTCTGTTTTACATTTGACTTTGTCAATGCTTATGTAGCCTGAAAGACAATAAACATATTCTTATTCTTATATAAAAGTATATAAAACTGATGTGATGCATTTGAAAGATGATAGATGGGTCATTATTCAATAACATCAAAAGATTGTAAAAACGTATGTAAGCCTACTCGGCATGACGCTCAGCCTATATCCTATATCCATACTATTTTCAAAATGAGGTGGTGAGTGTCTGTCAGGCTGACATCAGCTAAAATACTTGATGATGCAGCTGAAATTCAGCACACAGAAGTCATATATACCTAGAAGTGGCATAGGCATATTAACATTCACTACCCTGAATTCCCCTCACAGTAGGCTGCACCCAGTACATGTTCAAGTTCAAATATAAGGCTTTGAAAGTAAATTTTTCTTGGTCTCCATGGCTAAATACCCCTGTACAGACTAAGTGAATTTCCATTTGCCTGAATTGATTTTAAATTAAATCTTTTTAAATAACAGTAGGTTTAATGAGTACCTGGGTTTGCTGCTACTGGGAGGCTAATAAAGTAAGTTTTTTAGTAAAATATTAATAGCTTAGAGTAAAATAAATAAATTTGCTAATTGACCAAAATATACCCATAAACAAGCAAACTAAAACATTTTACAATTGCAAAGTATTACAGGAGTTAACAGTCATAATGTCCGATGACTTAAAAGAGTCAACTCAAAGATAATGTAATCAATCACTCCACTCCAGTTATCAAAACTGAAAACGAACTCACTCTGAAAACGAACGCTCTTGTGGGTATCATGTGTTTACAATGAACTGAACAGCTATTTTAGTATGGAATTAATACAAATTATTCGTCTGGTTAAGTACCTAAACAAAATCTTTTCTTTATAAGAAATACATTGGGATTTTGATGGCCTGTGTGGGGCAAAGTTGGAGGACTTTTATTACAGAAATTGGTGGAAGGTCTACACCAAAAAATACTTAATTTTGACACATCATTTGTAAAAATCTGTCCATTGTTATGAGAGGAGTAGTGTTTTGTAGAAATCACCTTCACATATTATATATAAGAATTCTCCATAATAATAACATGGGAATTTTAAATTTACAGTTTTTTTTTTTTTTTACCAATAGCTGTACAAAAACTCTTTAGCATACTAAATTATTTGTTTTTTTTAAGCTCTTTATAATGGTTTAGAGAAATTGGGAAACTTTTTTGTTTTTATTTCCCATGGTCCAATCATGCATCCCACCTACACCTTCAAACCAAATTTGATCAACATCACACAAAAATTACTCAAGTTATCGCATTCACAGACTTATGCGCTTTCTGCTCTAGTATGTTGTGCCAGAAATATAATTGTGACGAGCAAGGAAATGCCCGAGCAGCAACCACTGAGCAGAAATTCCTATCGCACAGGGCACAAGGTATTCCTTCACCGTGACCGTTGTAGTAGGTACATGAGGGTGAGGAAGGTGGTGTTGGACTTTGCCCAAGACACCAGCGACTAATGCTACATAACATTTGAGTGTACCATTGAATGTTTCCTCTGTAGTCTGTACCATACTTCTCTGTTTTGAAACTATCTTTTTAGAATTGAATTTAAGCACAAGCAAATTAAACTACCAATCCAGTGACAGTTTTCAAAATTACACCGTTTCAAATCTCAGAAAATTACTGTTTCATACATGTACATGAGTTTGTATTTGCAATACCAACAGTAGGACAAATGACTTTTCAACCTTATATTTATTTTATCAGATAATTGCAAGGTTTTCCTCGTGGGTGATCTTAAACACTTGTTTATGGCTTCTATTATACCCAAGTCAATACTTTGTAAACGATGCTGTAATAATCTATGCCTAATCTATGCCTGCCTTCTTTCATATACAGTTTAACTAACATATGTTTTATTGATTATTATGATTTTTGTAAACAGTCCAAATAAATACACATCTTTGGTCAAGTCTATCATTTTTGTCTTGTCTGTCTATAATATTTTTAACATTGGTGCCGAAACCCGACTAATAAATTATGTCAAGAAATATGTCAATCCGAAAGTCAGGGAGAGAGAAACACCCTGCAAATAGATATTCCCCAGAAAATGTAAATGACAAGAATGAGGAACCCATAGAAAGAGATGGTCAACCTCCAAAACTCCCTTCTAAGTCAAAAACCAAATCTTCAAGTTCCAGCAAGCGCCGGTTAGTTCAACTGCAACTAGAAGAAATAGAAGAAATAAACAGGCTTGAGAAAATACACGAAGAAAGGGAGATGCAACGGCTGAAAGAATTTGAAGAAAAGGAGATGGAGCGTCAAATGCAGGAACAACAGAGGCGAAGAGAGGAGAGGGAAATGGAACGACAACGTCAAGCTGAAGCAAAAGAACTAGAACGACAGAAGCGTCTGCTGAGAGTAAGGACCGAACTTGAGTCTGCTTCGGTCTTGGGAAGTAGTCAGTCCGCCTCAGTCTTGGGCAGTCGTCATTTGGAAGATAATGAAGACCCTGACAAGGTAAGCTTCAATATTGCTACTGTTGAGGAGGACTCTAATGTCAAAGTCAATAGATGGCTGAATGAGGAACCGTCAGTTCCTTTGACATCGTCAGCCATCGTGTCTACGGCTATTGATAAACTAGCAGACTCCTTTTCAAAAGCTATCAATTTATCTAACCCCAACCAACCTGTCTCTTGCCGACAGCGTCTTCCATCCTTCAGCGGGAAACCAGACGAATGGCCCATGTTCTATTCCTGTTACAATAAGACTAAACACCTTTTTAATGACGATGAAAACCTTAACAGAATAAGAAATTGTCTGGAGGGAGATGCCTTTAAAATGGTAAAACCTCTATTTATATCAGGTAAAAATTTGAGTACAGTAATGAAAACTTTACAAATGCGTTTTGGACGTCCAGAGTTTATAGTCGAGTCAATGTTGAAGAAGGCGCGCATGCTCCAACCAGTCAAGGAGGATGACGCTGTCAGCCTTATTGAGTTTTCAACAACTCTTTTAAACCTGACCTCTACCGCAGAGTCGTTGGATTTGGAAATGTACCTAATAAATCCCCTCTTGTTGAATGAACTTTTAAGTAAGCTCCCCTATACCCTGAAGTACAGGTGGGCTGAACATGTAAATAGCATGCATTTAGAAAAACCTACCGACCTGAAAGTATTCTGTAACTGGCTTGAAAATCAGTGTTCCATTATGAGTATTTATTTTCGTCCACCCGAGGAGACAACGCGGAAGAGAAGTGACCCTAAACCAGTTTTTACTAATTCGCCCAATGAAAACGTTTGCATGTTTTGCTCGGAGAGTCATGAAACCGATAAATGTAAGCTTTTTAGAAAAGCAGAAGTCTCGCAGCGGTGGAAGATGATAATTGAGAAAAAACTGTGTTTCTTTTGCTTTCGTCGTCACCACATCAAATTTTGCAATTTAAAGAAACCTTGTGGAATCAATGGGTGCAAACTATCCCACCATCGCCTTCTGCATACTAACAGTGCCACTAAAAATGCCCAAGAGATCAGCTGGGACAGAGTACAGAACACTTTCAGGCAGGAAGGTAAATCAAAAGAAGAATTTATAAGCAATCACTCAGTAAATAACCGTGTTTTACTAAGAGTATGTCCAGTGACATTATATGGTCCAAGCTGTCAGATCGACACATATGCACTTTTAGATGACGGTTCAACTATATCTCTACTAGATTCAACTACAGCCAATAAATTAGGCGTCAGTGGTAGCATTGAACCCCTTACCACTTGTTGGTCAAATGCAACTAAACATTTTGACCCAACGTCCAGACGAGTTGAGCTTAAAATAAAAGGGCTCTATGAAGACGAAGTTTTCACATTGACTAATGTAAGAACTCAATTTCCCTTAGATTTACCCCAACAGTCGATCGATTCAGTAAAGCTTCGTGAGACATGGTCTCATTTAAATTCAATCGACCAACCTCTACCAACATCTCATGCAAAACCTACCATCTTGATTGGTCAAGATAATTGCAACCTAATATTGACAAGGAAAGTTGTGGAAGGGCCTCCTAACTCGCCAGTTTTATCCTGGAGTTACTTAGGCTGGTCGTTGCATGGAAAATGTCCAGGATACAGTGGAGGACGTATCGATGACAACTTTGCTCTGACATGTTTTAAATATGATAAATTGTACAAAACAGCAGAGGAATCATTTGAGATTGACAACTACGGTGCAGAAAACATCTCCCAAGAGGAAAGGACTCGAAACAAAGATATGAAAATCAAAACAGCACATTTAAACAGGGATCCAATAAAAGAAAAAGCGTTAGAGAAGGAATGCCAACCCCTGGAAGCTAAGAATATGATTCAAGACTCTGAGAAACATTCTGACATTCTCACCAGTGTCCAGACAGTCCGAGTGGTTGGAGAGAAAACGGATGAGCTGATAGAAAATTCCAAAGTACTTGAAGTCTTGAAGGAAGCCATGCTGGAATCCAGTGTCAAAATCAAGAACAAGATCTTTGCGGTAACTGGCAAAAGGAAGAATGTGAAAACAGAAGACAAAAAACTTAAAGCCAAACCTCTATGGGAAATGAAGAAAACGGAGAACAATTCAGAGTTGATAATTTGTGGTGGATGTGATGTGCAGTTTGACAATACCTCCTTCTACAGACACAAGAAGAAACGTGTGTGCTGGAAGGAGCACAAGAATAACGATGACAATCAAACAAACAAGTGTGCTCAGTGTGGCTGCAAGTTCCCATGTCTGATGGCCTTGTTTAAACACAACTGTAGTCGCTCACAGGAACCTACAATGCCACAATGGTGTCTTGAAGAGCAGATGGCGGAGGTACTAAGAGACAGCGTGGAGGACAATCCCAACTTGTCACCTAAGAAAATATCCAGAGACGAGTCTGTGAGGAGAATGTCACTAGTGGACGATTCAGTCAGCCTAGTCAGTGACGAGACCTTTGACATCTCACAGTACCACGGCAAGTACTTTAAGCCCAGCAGTGATAACCAGAGGAATAAGAAGTATTCTGAAATATTCAAAGAAATCAAACAACAAAGAAAAAAAAGTATGCTCAAAGTGAAAATCACTAAAGAACTGGTGAGTGCCAAAGTTAGCCTTCGCAAGCCTCGGCCAAAAATTACTATTGCTCCAAAGAAAAAACTAATGAAATGGAAAAAGAAACTAATTTTTGAATGGTTAGTTCTTGGGGGGGAGAGAATGTAATAATCTATGCCTAATCTATGCCTGCCTTCTTTCATATACAGTTTAACTAACATATGTTTTATTGATTATTATGATTTTTGTAAACAGTCCAAATAAATACACATCTTTGGTCAAGTCTATCATTTTTGTCTTGTCTGTCTATAATATTTTTAACAGATGCGTAGTTTCTATCTAATTGTGCATTGTTTGATACTCACAACTGCAGTGAGTTCCACTGTAAGATAGTAGCCAGTGCCAAACCTAGACTTGAGGAACACACTGGATCCACAACACTGTAGCTGACCATCAGCTATGATGGCTATCCGGTCACCGAGCAGATCTGCCTCGTCCATGTAGTGGGTTGTCAGTAGCACAGTGCGATCTAATGCATAAGATTTTATATAACAAGGCTGTATGATTCACACAAGATTGCACTTATGTAACATGAGTAAATTGAGAATATAATAAATATAATTTATAACACTGTCAGGTTTCCAAGTTCTTGTTGGTAATAGCGAATTGACATTATCCAACAGATTATTGGGGAAATCTTCCATCACGATTAGTAAAAAACAATGTCTTAACAAAATGATGCAAAATGCTTGTTTTCCCCTATCCTTGAGTTCATTCGTTGGTATCATTCATTCAACTGTAGGAAAAGGATAATCAGTTTGAGAGATTGAAAAATGACCAACTACCTCTTCAAAATTCACATACCGCGTTAACTAATAGCAAGGCACATCAGAACCAGGAAAATATGTAAATACTCTATGGAAATTAAGTTCTTTGTTTGTTTCAGTTTATGCATCACTTTTCCATGTTGTTTGTTTTAGGGATTCCATTTTCAGATCCCTTCGCCTTTGCTTCAGCCATTACTGTAAGATAAGCCAGAAAAAAGCTGTTACCCTAGGTGGCACAATAAGACCTAGACCCGGTACTAATTTACTATCTCATTTTGATGCAAACATATTAAACCTTTTTTGGAGAAAGTGTTCAAAAATGTGATGATAACATGAGCTATAATTTATACAGCACTCAAAACCTCTCAATTTTCTATCAAAATGTTCAAAATTTACTGACACGCATTGGCATTTTAGAAATTAACCTTGATAAAATAAAACCAGATGTAGTTGTTTTGACAGAAATAAATATGCATGAAGAAGAAATACAAATTTAAATTTCAATAATTATAACATATCATCCTACTGGACCAGGTCAACAACCACAGGTGGAGGTGTCATGATTTTGACAAGCAAATTTATAAAAAATTATTAATCAAAAGAGCTCGAGAATTAACATTGGAGAAGGAGTTTGAGTGTTGTATGGTTGAAGTAACAGTAAATGCATTTTCTTTTGTATTAATTTGTTTGTATAGATCACCTAATTATAAATACAATGATATTTTTTTAGATAAGCTGGAAATTTTACTGGATATATTAACGGGGTGGCGTAATTGTACCCCCCTGGAATTGTACTCCCTGCAGATTAGTGACGTCACGATGACGTCTCATTTTCTCGACCAAAACGGCGTGTTCGGGCTGGAATTGTACCCCCCTCATAAAACTTTGATATTGTTATGCACGAGTGGTTTGATTAAATCCACTGACATCTAAAAAACTGTACGGACCGGAATTGTACCCCCCTGGAATTGTACCCCCTCAGTTAGAACTCACTTTTATTTGGCCAGTGTACGGGGTGGAATTGTACCCCCCTGGAATTGTACCCCCCGGCAGTCTAGCTCTTCTTATAGGACCGGAATTGTACCCCCCTGGAATTGTACCCCCTGGTGACCGCAGAAGAAGATGTACGGCCCAGAATTGTACCCCCTGGAATTGTACCCCCCCATTTCACCCAGGAGCTTGTCTATTATGATTACCAAGTAAAATCAAAACAAAATTTATGTTGGATATTAGAGGGGAATCACACGAAAGTGAACTGAACCAAGTTACCCGACACCTAATGAATTGCTTGTTGTGAAAGGATATTCTAAGAAACTGCAAATTAGGGCCATTCCGAGTGCGAGAGGCCTAACAGACTTCTTTGTACGTTATTCATTTATATTTTCTTAACCTTCCCAAGTAGGCTACTAACTGTTCATGGGTTAGCTTAAATTCACAAAGGTTAAAACTTTGACAAACCGTGAAATACTTTGTACCAGATACCTACAACTAAATATTAAAACAGGTATTTTGTCCACCTTTGCCAGCAATAAATCGCGAATTAATGAGCAGATGCTACCTGTTCGCCATGTTATCTTATGGGACGTCTGTCACTAAACAACACCACTTGCGACTTTGCCAATTCTACCAGGCCGCGGCCTGTAGTTAAAGGTGGCCGTGGTACGTGCCGGACCCTGTTTCTTTTTACACAAGTTGTTTGTGGCTTTGCTGGGTGCAATTTTTCAGTGAATACTATGTCTGTATAATAGCAAAGCTAAGACTTTTGCGGTCACGGGGTGTTCGTCGGTATAACTCGTGGTCACGGGGTGATCGTCGGTATGATTCCGTGGTCACAGCGCGATTGTCGGTATGACTCCGCGGTCACGGCGCGATTGTCCTTACGACCCTGCGGTCTCGGGTTGATCGTTGATATAACTAGTGGTCACGGGGTGATCGTCGGTATGACTCCGCGGTTACCGCGCAATTGTCGTTATGACTCCGCGATCATCGGTATGACTCCGCGGTCACAGCGCGATTGTCGGTATGACTTTTGCAGTCACGGGGTGTTCGTCGGTATAACTCGTGGTCACGGGGTGATCGTCGGTATGACTCCGTGGTCACGGCGCAATTGTCGGTATGACTTCGCGGTCACGGCGCGATTGTCCTTACGACCCTGCAGTCTCGGGTTGATCGTTGATATAACTAGTGGTCACGGAGTGATCGTCGGTATGACTCCGCGGTTACCGCGCAATTGTCGTTATGACTCCGCGGTCACGGCGCGATTGTCCTTACGACCCTGCGGTCTCGGGTTGATCGTTGATATAACTAGTGGTCACGGGGTGATCGTCGGTATGACTCCGCGGTTACCGCGCAATTGTCGTTATGACTCCGCGGTCACGGCGCGATCATCGGTATGACTCCGCGGTCACAGCGCGATTGTCGGTATGACTTTTGCGGTCACGGAGTGTTCGTCGGTATAACTAGTGGTCACGGGGTGATCGTCGGTATGACTCCGCGGTTACCGCGCAATTTGTTTTGAGACTGATTGTAATATATTGTGATTTATCAGAATTACAAGATAGTCTGTTTGCAGAAAACCAATCATATGCTCTCAGTTCAGCCTCTTGACTAATTAAGTGCAGGGTTGTTAAATTAGAAGAGTTAGCGAGTAAAGTTGTAATTCATCCGCATATATAACAGATTGTGTATTAATATTTATAGGGAGATCATTAATGTAGATGTTAAAGGATACGGGCCCTAGTACAGAGCCCTGAGGAACACCGGTTTCAACTTTTTCAGTTTTAGAACATTTATTTTTAATTATACAAATTGAAGTCTATTACATGAATACAAAGAATTTAGAAGCATGGCATCATTAGTGATGCCATAAAAACGTAGTTTGTTAGTTGGGATATCAAAAGGAACCGTGTCAAAAGCTTGACTTAAATCACATAAAACTAATGACACAGATTCTTTCATTTCTAAAGCTTCAAGAGAATGGTCAACTATAGTGAGAATTGCTGAGGTTGTGGATTTACCTCGACGAAAGCGGAATTGGGAGTTGGACAATAGGTTATTTGTTTCAAAGTAATTATTTAATTGATTAAATACATTACTGCTTCAAATATTTTGGATAAAATAGGAACAATTGAAATAGGCCGATAATTTTGAACCAGGCTTTTATCACCTTTTTTGAATATTGGGATTACTTTTGATATTTTGAGGGATGGAGAAAAATATCCCTCCCTCACAACAGGTATTTAATATAAAAGCTAGAGGATAGCTAATAAAACCTATAGTCTTTTTCAAAATATTATTAGAAATCCAATAATAATCCATTGTTTTAGAATTTGTTAATTTTGCAACAACTTTAATTATATCCGACGATGAGACCTCTGACCAAGAAAATGTTGTGGTTGTTGAGTTGTTTTGTAAAAAATCTTCTGCTTTGTAAGGGCTTTGTGGTATTACTTTACTTAATTCTTGTATTGAATCTAAAAAATATGAATTAACTTCGTCTGGGTCAAGTATGGCATCTTCACTATGAGTTGGTGAATGCTCATCTTTAATTACCGCCCAGGCAGCACGACATGGGTTGGAAGCATTACTGATGAAGTGCTCAACCGCGTCCTTTTTGCCAAGAGTCATTTTATTTCTATAGAATTTATTATGGTTCATATAAACATTATAAGCCACCTGAGTTAGCTCAGAACCTATAGATCTTAGGTTTTTATAGACAGTAAAGTACTTAAGCATATCACTCTTAATTATTCCAAGCTCAGGAGTATACCATTTTATACTGTTCGTTACTTTGACCGATGGGGAACGATTGTGCCATAAATTCACATATCTTTTAAAAAAACTATCAAAAACAAATTTTCAACACTAAAAATGATATCATTTGTAATGAAATGAGTTAAAATAAACTGATGATTAAACGGACGCGTTGCAGAAAGTCAACAGTCCCGGAAGGTCAAATAATTTATACCTGTGCCGCTAGGTCAAAAACTACAATGTTTGCAGTGTCTGTAGATCAAAAATCCCAGTAAGTCAAATAGTACAGTCCGGGCTAAAAACGTAGTCTATGTTAAAGCAATTGACTTATTGGGAATTTGACCTAATGCAACAGCAGTTTTAATATAACGAAATAAGATAAAATATAAGTTCAGTTTCGCTGAGTCAACAGTGCCGGAAGGTCAAAAGTATAATCTGTTAAAAACAACGATAGTCCTCTCGACGCATGACTTCAATAATTTCGTGTTTTGGTATACTTAAAGTTGTGCTAACATTTTGAAATTTGGCACAGAGCTTCTTGGTTAGTCCTACTCGATGACTATTTTGTTGGAACTTTAAACTATTTACCGATCTAATTAATAAAAATTGATTTGTACTGTGAAATAGTTTTAAATCGTGATTTCTAACATGAAAAAGTTAGCATGCGAGATTTTTTTTGTTTTTGGGTTAGAGAGGTTTTGTCTGTGGCAAAGTCGTAGCCAAAAGTGTGATGCGTAAAATATATTTTTTTGAATTTTTTACAATCAGTGTTTCAGTAGATAACTTGGGTTGAAGAGGACGGCAAAATTTAGCATTTCGCAACGCATGGAAAGAACTACATCGTACGATGCGACTGCTGAGTGGACTTTTAATTTATAGTTCTAAGGACAAGAAAAAGATGAATATACAGATCACCAGTACATTCATATTATTTATAAAACATCTTTCT